TAACCAAAGTGACGCGCGCATGTAATCCAATATGGCCGAAGTGTCTTGTGCCGGCACATAGAATGGAATTTTAATATGCAACAGTTAATGTCATTTATTGTTTGCATAAATCGATTGGTCTGGAAGTCACAGCCAGTGTACATTATGTTTTTGTAAATGCGACTCGTTTTATACATCAATGTAACCTACGATATTTTTAAAAAGTTGTGTTCATAAAAAAGACACTTCTAAAAATTTGCATATCTTAAACAATTTTAAAAAATAAACGAAATTGTTTTGAAAAGTTAATATTGTAGGATTCTTAATTAATTCGATTCTTGTTAATTTTATACACATTTATAGAAAATCAATTCGCTGAAGAAAAAAATTCAGATCGAATAAAAGAAATGAGAAAAACACAAAAAAAAGGATACATTAATTATTTTCTAAAATACGTGAACGTTATATGAATGTTTCTAAAAAGCAGCTTTAAACTAAATTTAATTCTCACGAAAATCGAAGTAAACAAATAAAGATCACATTTTCGATTCCGTGCCAGCAAGCCGTGCACAATGGTGCGAAACCTAGCGCAGCAACAATGCGTCGTTGGTGTATCGCGCGCATCACGCGGTGGCTCGCTCAGCCGCCGGCTGTTCGGCGCTTGGGAGCACCGCGTCGTGATGGACAGCCGCACTCGCTAATACTATCACAATACGATGAAACGTGAACCTTTGCCTAACCTAACTAAAGTTTTGTTGATGATGCTATCTTACATTGTTAACGAGTTTAACTTCAGAAAAATTTACCTGACTGTAGATATTATTCTTCCAAAACATATCTGTGTGCTTAGTGCGAGTTTTTAAACGTTCTCGATAGCGTAAAAGTTAGCCCAATTTTGTATGCAGTTATGCAGGAACAGCGCCCCTAACGGCAAACGTAGGCAAACGATCCCATTCCATACAAATATGAGCTAACTTTTACGCTATCGAGAACGTTAAAAAACTCATACTAAGCACAGTGAACATATTATTATGTCCGTACTTTATTATGTAAGTATATCGTCAAATTTACTATTCATTCCACTTTATTCGGTTTTTACGAGTGGCAGACTTAACTGAAGCTATTTTTATGGTTTAATTTCAATTTTTTTCGAATTCGAATACTTCACAGTTTTCGTGGTCACCACTGAGGACTAAGGTGTGCTTAGTGCGAGTTTCTTAACGTTCTCGATAACGTAAAAGTTAACTCAATTTGTATGCAGTTGAAACAGCGCTCCTAGCGGCAAACGTACGCAAATGATTCCATTCCATACAAATAAGAGCTAACTTTTACGCTATCGAGAACGTTAAAAGACTGAGCATTGAAAACATCAACTGCTCTTTGCAATTTTAATTAATATTTATTTTCAGATATTATTTTATTGCGAAGAACCTAAATCGTCAAACCTCGTTGCATATTTTTATCTACAGAAAACATCGTTACGAAACGCCAAAACGAATCAGCATTTAATGAAATCCCTATAAAAGTTATTTACGCGACAAAATCGCGTTCAATCCAGTAATTTAGTTTGGACCGATAATGTCGCGACGTCGTGGTCAGCATTGTAAAAGCTTTCATATCAATTGAATCCATTAGCTGAGTACACATTCCCGTCTGTCTATTTACTCATCAGGTTTTTATCATTCGCCAGTTCTGTTTGTTCGATCGGTCACTTCCACATTATTGATGGCCCTATGAATGCCCAAACTAAATGAATGAATTTGCAAATCGCTGTATTTTAATCCGACCGAATTAAATTCACATACGCAACACCAGAAATGTGTCTCATTTTGACGATTGTGTTACTTTTACATTATTCAGTGTTGTCCTAAAAACTAAAAGATGTCCGTAATCAGTATTCCTAATACTGATTAAAGATCCGTAAAGTTAAAACATATCTTATTACTATAGTCTGTATATTACTTTGAATAGTCACATATTGCAATTTTNGAGATATTTACGTATATTCATGTTTCATTTTATGTACGCACTGAAATACTGTTATATTGTTTTCCTGCGAGTTAAAGTGCTGAGTAAGAACGAGATAGATATATGTTTATGTATGTGCCTTCAAAATGGGTGCTATTTATATAAGCAATTGTACGTATAGAACAATATGTCGTGTCCCTACTATATAGGTCTATGGTTTTACTAGTTGAACGAACATGTATTATTTTGTATAGTAAATTAAAAAAAATACAATTTCTACGTCAAGTGGGCCAAGATAAATATGAGATAGCATTCACAAATTAGTATATTCTTTTGTATAGTAAATAAAAAAAATACAATTTCTACGAGTGGGCCAAGATAAATACGAGGTAGCATTCACAAATTATTCTTCTTTTTTTTTTGGTTGTCAATGACCGTGTTGGCTTTACTGGTTGAACAAACATGTATTATTTTGTATAGTAAATAAAAAATAAAAAAATTTTACGTCGAGTGGGCCAAGTGGGCGATAAATATGACATAGCATTCACAAATTAGTTACTTTAGATCGGAATTATCTTTTCGTGAACATATTACACGGTAGTCGAGCGACAAGCGCACAATATGACACCAATTTCCCATTCATTGCCAGTTTATTTACACGAACGAATCGACAGCATTTTATCATGTGTCCTTTCACCCAACCCTTCCCTTGGTTATCTGATAACAGTTTGAATGCGGTACACATTTGTTCACACGTCATCCACTGTGCACTAGTGTAAAAATTGTTAGCAAATGTGCCTAGATAGCGATCTGCTATTTGAGATTGTGGGGATGCTGGCAGACCTATGTTTACATGTGTTGATGGAAAACGGTACGGTTTGTGGACACGGGAAGATTATTTTGTTCACTTACCTAAATGAAAAGTTTTGTTCTTTAAAGATGAAGAGAAATTCTCAACACCCAATTGCTTTATTTTTGTCAACAGTCAGCAAACCATGATCTAAATAACAAATGAATTAATGGGCAAGGAAATGAATAACGTAGGTTTGGCCCTGATATGGATGATGTCCATGAACAAAATATGTGGATTACCTACCACGAGATAGGGTGCATGCTCGTCTGCCTACAAAAGTAATAAAAAAACTGAATACCTTTCAGATTTGGTGCGTAGGATAGTTGTCATTTAAGTCAACCATATCTATAACAATGAGGCTAATGACCGTCTTTAAATCGAAGACTTCCGAAAAAGATGAAGGTAATTTTACTATGCAACCGATCATGTTTACCTTGAATATTTTACTTTATCTTAAATGTATCATTAAAATACTTTATGATGGTTTTTTGTTTGTTATAAAAGACATGAAATAATTCGCAACTGTGGATCTTGAAGTTTTTTGGTCAAGATATCAAAAACCAGAACTCTGTAGAGAGGTTACCCCGGCCAGATGGAGGGGAAGAGAATTTGTGGAAAGGCGATCTCATACCGAGAAGACAAAGACAATAGACCATTGTCCGTTATTACTGTAATGTCTCAAATCGCAAAATAGATTATTGGATCGTGGTGAAACCATTGAAATGTCACAAAAAGAACAAACATTTGAAGTCGTCGTGGCCTAAAGGATAAGACGTCCGATGCCTTCGTGTTGAGCGATGCGCCGGTGTTCGAATCTCAGGCGGGTACCAATTTTTCTAATGAAATACGTACTCAACAAATGTTCACGATTGACTTCCACGGTGAAGGAATAACATCGTGTAATAAAAATGAAACCCGCAAAATTATAATTTGCGTAATTACTGGTGGTAGGACCTCTTGTGAGTCCGCGCGGGTGGGTACCANACCAATTTTTCTAATGAAATACGTACTCAACAAATGTTCACGATTGACTTCCACGGTGAAGGAATAACATCGTGTAATAAAAATGAAACCCGCAAAATTATAATTTGCGTAATTACTGGTGGTAGGACCTCTTGTGAGTCCGCGCGGGTGGGTACCACCACCCTGCCTATTTCTGCCGTGAAGCAGTAATGCGTTTCGGTTTGAAGGGCGGGGCAGCCGTTGTAACTATACTTGAGACCTTAGAACTTATATCTCAAGGTGGGTGGCGCATTTACGTCGTAAATGTCTATGGGCTCCAGTAACCACTTAACACCAGGTGGGCTGTGAGCTCGTCCACTCATCTAGCAATAAAAAATAAAAAAAAAACATCCAACATTCAGATACTATCAGTGCAACAGATAAAATATGAATATTATTTAATATAATATAATAACATATAAGATATACAAAGTGAAATATACAGAAAACTCGAGTCTTCAACTTCAAGTACACCATATTGTAAATGTGAAAAGGTAACACCTACCAATTGATTCGAAACGAACTAAAGAGCGCTTGTACCAATTTTCGTAAAACTCACCAATATAGTTCGCCACATTTAAAAAAAAAACTCCTTCATAAATAATAATATAATATTAGTATCATAATAACAAAATTATCGACTACTCTCGCACTCTATTCTGAATCTTATTCCATAGATTTAGAGAGCTATTTCACGAAAATACATTTATGTATAAGGGGGAGAAATTGAACCTTTTGTTAGCCTATAGCATTATTATTTCTCATTTTGTTTTGTTTATTAATTCAATTGGCTGCAGGCGCAATATTGATATTCAGGTTTGATGATGACTCGCGCGCTACGACTCGTCTTTCTTAGCTCGCTACATTACCTTTTTATTTAGGCTTACACGTTTTTTTGTTTATTTTAAACCTTCTTTCTAACTTAAAGCTAACGCTCCTTTATTCGGAATTCAAACTGTGGGAAATCATAGCGCACGACCGCTGTGAAATAGAGGAATGACGCGTATAAATAACTCGCAGAAATATCAATTAAACAATTATGCTGTCCGAATGGAATCGTGTGTAATGATAGTGGGGGCTTGGCAATAATTCAGACGCATCTGCACTACGGGTATTTGCAAAAGGCACGACGCGATACGAGTTGGCGTTTTACTCAAACCCTGTCCTTCTCATAATTCGACGAGTACACTGCGTTACATTCATTTTTCATCACACAGTTGAGATTCAATTCTTATGTTCACGTAGTTAAATATTTAGATCGGAAGCTATTTTGAGATGAACGAATTCAGTTGATCAAGCATTAGGATTACCGTTTAACTAATAATTTAAAAGCCAAACAACAGCGTAATTAATCCACCATCCGATGAGATATACATTTATATGACGCGGTTGTTCGGGTTTTTAAACTGAATAGTGGCTATAATAATACAGTGCAACATAATGTGATGCAAATGTGTGCCTACTTATAATACAGAACACGTGATACGTTGAAGTTAACTACAAGAACAGCGAAGGCCTATTTATATGGTATCAACGTTGCAAATAGGTAGTTGTGATTATGCCGTGCCTATTTACACTAGACGACAATAAAATACATATATAAGTGTATATGTATGTGTGTGTGTGTGTATTTATATATGTTTCACGGGATTGATACAATGCGCGTAATTCGTTTCCAAATGATTCTTGTCCACCTAATGGTCTGGAAGAGATCGCTCTTAGCGATAAGACCATCAATTGTACTTCTTTTGTATTTAATGTTTCGCATTGTTTTTTTTTTGGTGTACAATAAAGAAAACTCTCCCTCTCTAAAATACATACCGAATTCAATTGTCTTTTTAATATTTAAAATACTAACAGCAATAATTATTTCTAAAATCTAAATTCGTACATTTATTACGAGCTTACCTTTTTCATAACTGATTTGTCTTTCCTGTTGTCTTGCGTTATCTGCGGCAACTTTTAACAGGCCCTGGATATTCCTGAGCAAAGTCTCGGTGGAGGAGACGAGGGTGTCAGCAGTGGGATCGACAGGGACAGACGTTGGCGTCACGGTGGGGGGCGGGTAGCTCACAGGAGCCGGTGACGTCGATGCTGGAATGTCGCGCTCTCCGTCGCTCATGTCTCCCCCTGATGAAAGGTAATACACTATTTTAATTTAATATAACTGCACTTTACTGAACTAGTGAAGGTAAGATTATTATGGTAAGGTAAGCTTAATATTTAACAGATATATATTATATTATAATTTATATTATATTATAGTATATATCTTTTTTTTATTGCCCCTGTAGGCAGACGAGCATGCTGCCCACCTGATGGTGAGTGGTTACCGTCGCCCATGGCAGCAATGACAGGGGTAGAGCCAAGCCGCTGCTTTCCTATTTTGAACTAAGCTAAAAAAAATGTAATGTGCAAATATTCATCTGTTTTAATAAATTTGTTAATGCCCCTATTATAGTCCGAAATTTGGACTTTATTCTTCCTCGGGTCCTCGTGATCCCTTACGGGACACGATTGGGGCCTTAGGGACTTGATTCTTACCAAGTATCTTTGTCCAAGATATTATTGCAACGAAACAGTCGTGAATTTCAGTTTGAATGAAAAGACAACCATAATACAATTGAAAAGACTTTTTTTTATGCCTAGATGAGTGGATGAGCTCACAGCCCACCTGGTGTTAAGTGGTTACTGGAGCCCATAGATTACTACGACGTAAATGCGCCACCCACCTTGAGATATAAGTTCTAAGGTCTCAGTATAGTTACAACGGCTGCCCCACCCTTCAAACTGAAACGCATTACTGCTGCTTCACAACAGAAATAGGCGGGGTGGTGGTACCTACCCGTGCGGACTCACAAGAGGTCCTACCACCAGTAGACAAGATGTTCTACCACTACTTCATTCTTTAAAAAAACGGCTTTGTTATAACTTTGTGATAGGATTTAAAAAAGCTAAGTACACTTATTCTAATGTAATAGCTGTGTTTAATCTACATCGTGTTTCCTGCACCAATAACGCAGGAGAAACTCTCGTTCTGGGACCATTGAATCGTTTTTTTTTTGAGATAAACAATTTTTTCTATTAATGTAACCACTACCTATAAATATTTTTTTTTTAAATTTTATAATTCCCGTAAGTAACATTGTTATAGTCTACCATAAAAGGAACCATAAAGAAATAAAACCTGGCAGCCCTTTAAACGTACAATGTTTTTGAATCGATTGCGTGTATCATTCATTCGAATTGTAATTATAAGTACGATGAACATCGATATTGCGTGGTAATTGCCGGTACTAAGCTTTGATACAGTGCTTCGCATTCTGATTCGAATTCCGTTATGAGGAATGCCATTTTATTCGCTAGGATTAGCAATAAAGCGTTCCATTTGTTTTTGTAGCATTTTCTTATTAGTATTAATTGTTTACAAGAGCTTATAGACTTCACAGGAGGAACAGCACTACCTACGTTAAGAAAAAAAGTGGAAATTGCAACTTTTTTTTATTTTATTGCTTAGATGGATGGACGAGCTCACAGCCCACCTGGTGTTAAGTGGTTACTGGAGCCCATAGACATCTACAACGTAAATGCGCCACCCACCTCGAGATATAAGTTCTAAGATCTCAGTATAGTTACAACGGCTACCCCACCCTTCAACCCGAAACGCATTACTGCTTCACGGCGGAAATAGGCGGGGTGGTGGTACCTACCCGTGCGGACTCCCAAGAGGTCCTACCAACAGTGATTACGCAAATTATAATTTTTGAGGGTTTGATTTTTATTACACGATGCTATTCCTTCACCGTGGAAGTCAATCATGAACATTTGTTGAACATTTGAACTGCTTTGTGAAACGGCTAATTCATCCTTCAAAGCAGAACGCATCACTGCTTTGTAACAGAAATAGTAAAACAGCACGGTAACAATTACAATTACTCATACGGATTACAATATGCCCTATCACCAATAAATACGATAAAACGTTCAAATCGTATATTTCTACTTCATCTACGTATATTTTAAATTCTTTTTTTTCCACATATCTGTTATGTGAATCACCAAATATATGAAGTGCAATTATTATTTTTAAACGACACGCCCAACAGTTTTGTTCATTACGATACTGCGGAAAAAACCTTGCCAACGACAACTAAGATTCGTAGATATATTTCACTGTCGTACATCTAGAAGCATCTGACAGAATGTATCCAGCATGTATCGAGTTGTTAATTCGCAAAAATCTTGTCAATGTCGACTTCATAAAATTTTATGTGGCCGTAGCCAATGTTTCTGGTAGATTTTACGATGTTGGGAAACACGGCGATGAGTTCACGATTTCAATAAAAATTGACGAGATAATTACAATAATGTACGTCTTGTGTCAATAACGGACCGTGTCCACAAAAAAAAAGAATGAGTTTTGAATAGCATCTCTCACGGTCCAAAATAATATATCGATACATTTAATTTAGCTGACAAGATAGTGACCGCTCATCAAATAATGAAGACAAAATCGTTTCGTCATTGTCGATGGGCACGATAGCACTCTCGTGTTGTCACAACACCATCTACCTAATAAGACCAATTAACAACAACCTCACAAAACGTACTTAACGAACTTAAACTCTATTACTTTTGCGAGTGAGATTATATTCATATACCACGCCAGAACCTGCTATTGCTTTGTCTAGTTAGATTTTATTTGTGAAATATTACAGAAAGGTTACTTATGAAATAAACATAGAGCACGTTTGAAAACGAGCTTTTTTGAAAATAATCATCTCGTATCGCAGTTGTTCTATCGTTGGTGACCTCTAGTATTTATACATATATACCAAAATGTCCGTTTTCAAGGATTTTACATAAATCTGAAATTTAAGAGTAATTATTACTATATTTTAACACGGCAACTGAAGCTTAATTCATAAACTTTCCTTCAAACCGTTGGCAGTGATCCGTTCCCACGGTCTCTCATCATTTTGTGTGGCTTGTAATAATAACTACAATACACAATCCGTATTGTTTCGCTTAATTTCGCTATTGTACGCTTCAAGTATTTACATTTGCAACCGCTGTTATGGTTCGGTCTGTTTATAAAATTACGCTAACTAGAAAACGAGGGGTTGTTTCGAGCACTAGATATTATTTGTTATTAAACAAACATTCCCATGGCACTTCTTTTTAATGTTTAAAGTTAAATAATTCGGAAGATTTTTGAATTTTTTTCAATATCAAAGTTAAAAGGTCTTCTGTCTGCCTACAATCAATCATGCCAATCATTTCGTAGGTACATTAGATGATCTGAACTAATCTGAAGCAAGTTATATCAGATATATATCAGATATATTTTACTGGTGGTAGGACCTCTTGGGAGTCCGCACGGGTAGGTAACACCACCCTGCCTATTTCCACCGTGAAGCAGTAATGCGTTTCGGTTCGAAGGGTGGGGTAGCCGTTGTAACTATACTTGAGACCTTAGAACTTATATCTCAAGGTGGGTGGCGCATTTACGTTGTAGATGTCTATTGGCTCCAGTAACCACTTAACACCAGGTGGCCTGTGAGCTCGTCCACACATCTAAGCAATAAAAAAATAAAAAAAGTTTTGTTTAGTTAGATATATTCAATATATATAAAGTCTCGGCGCTTTGATTACTCTACGTTTTCGTTAGCCAATAAGCAGGCGAGAAAAAGAAAACTTGATTTTAATCATAACACTTACTTATTTTACACACGAATAATTCTTTTTATTTTCAATTGTTTTAAACAGTTTCACATTCCATTTAAAACAGCCGTAACAGCATTTGTTGTTCATTGAAGTTGATCTAATAACTACTTTCTGCTTGAATGATAAACAACGTAAAGTAACGAAATGGTGAAATATAAATTATGTTGTTGAGAACGTTAGTGCTTTCTACTTGTAGTTCAATAATCATTTCTGATATATAGTCAAAATCAATGTATATTCTATACATATGTCAGATAATATTTTTTTATTGTTATCGATATGCGTTATACTCAAATTTCTTTACTGTTTCAGCAACTCGTCTTTGGAATAACCTTCCTCTGAGCTTTCGTGAGGCACGTTCAGTTGATAATTTGAAAGCGAAAGTACATGATCTCTTTTTGAATGCACAGATTGCTTGATTATTTTGTAGTATGTTGTGGTTTATATAATTTATTTTATTTGATATGAATTTCTTATCTATGTATTTTGTATGTATGTATCTATGTATTTATTTTGGCAATTTTATTTATAACCTAGTGTTTATATTCACTCATGTCTACTATAGTTCTTTAAATTATCGCCATGTATTAACTTCATCACAGCTACGCACTTCTTGAATTTTTCACTTCATCAACGAGGGTTAACTGGCGTTAAGCTCACTTTTGTACAATATTTTTGTGCAATAAAGAATTTTCAATCAATCAATCGATAGCAGATGCGCTAAAGCTTTCATGTGAGTGCTAGCAATGCCAAAGGTAGACTACTACTACTAGCCTACCGCTGAGTCTTCTGAGAAATCTTAATGTGTCTTAATAATAAACTTTCATCACTCAAGCGAGTCGTAATCGATATGATTATAACGACTGTATCAGACAGGACGAAGACATCGAAACGTACTATTTTACACGTTATTTGTCAAAAAATCTCAAAATCTAGCTTCTTCAACGCCATCATAGAAGTCGTTGTGGCCTAAAGGATAAGACGTCTGGTGCATTCGTATGTAGCGATGCACCGGTGTTCGAATCCCGCAGGCGGGTACCAATTTTTCTAATGAAATACGTACTCAACAAATGTTCACGATTGACTTCCACGGTGAAGGAATAACATCGTGTAATAAAAATGAAACCCGCAAAATTATAATTTGCGTAATCACTGGTGGTAGGACCTCTTGGGTGTCCACACGGGTAGGTACCACCACCCCGCCTATTTCCGCCGTGAAGCAGTAATGATTTCGGTTCGAAGGGTGGGGCAACCGTAACCATACTGAGACCTTACAACTTACACCTCAAGGTGGGTGGCGCATTTACGTTGTAGATGTCAATGGGCTCCAGTAACCACTTAACAGTAGGTGGACTGTGAGCTCGTCCAACCATCTAATCAATAAAATAAAATAAAAAATCTACCGGTTCAGTAATGAAGTTCCAATCCTGAGTGATGTAAATGAAGTCGCGGGTAAAATTTAGCGTTATGCTATTCCTATCCAGTCCAGTAACTATTCCACGCGGACGAAGTCGCGGGCAAAAGCTAGTATTGTATATTTCTGACTGTAGCTATTAAGACTTTTCGGATATACATTGTAGTTTTCGTAAGCAATTGTCTCTTTTCCCTCCACGTGATCTTTTACGTATTTCGGTGATCATTCAACGATAATTAAATTATTTTAAGAAAAAAAAATCGTAATTATTTAAACAGTTCCGCTAATTCATCATACAATGTGCGGGTGATTTAAACTTAATCGTATCCCGTCGAAATAAAGGAACCGTGGCTTTATGGTTGATAATTCGCGAAGGAAATATGAATGACTGAAGGTTTCTGGGCTATTACTCGGTAATTTTGCTCAACATTACACGCCAAGCACACATACACCCATACGAACGGGTGATACCTCGTGTTAAAGTTGCTCGAACATTTTCTTGTCATGCGCGACCGTGATTAAATTGAAAATAGATAGTTTAGTTAATACTTAATTTCATTACGTGAACCCTATATGCGTTTATTAATCGCCATAGTATAGTACTGAGATCTCATGTCTCTAGGTGGGTGGTAGAGTTCACGTAGGATCTCTATGAGCTTCGATAGCCACATAGCGTAAGGCCGTGTGTCGTTCACCTATCTAAGCCCTAAAGAATACATAAAAATCGCCTTACAAAATATATTTTTTGTAGTACTCACTGTCTTTTGTTTTAGTAATAAGTGTTGATAATATTCAATTTTAATAACCTTCTAGTTACAACACTATTCCCGAGTGACACAGGGTATAATCTTTTTTGAAAAAAATTCTGGATCCTTACTAAAACTCCAATAAAGTAACCCAAGGTGTAAAAAAATTTCCTAAATTATTCTTTACATTGCGTGTCCTGCGAAAACTATTCATGATAGAATAAAATAATATACTACGACTCTGTAGAACACATTATTATTTACAAAAAATGTCGCGACAGCATATGTCTAACTATTATAGTTATGCCGCAATAAGTGTTCTTTTATTTAAAAAAATAAAACAACGTCAAATATCGTTGAAATTTTTGTTAAAGACCCGAGCGCAGCCGGAGCGGGCCGCTAGTGTTATTACATATTAACAAACAAAAGTTTAATTGCGTGGAACGAATCAGTTTCTTTACCAAAGATGTTTAAGTGGTAGGCAGAGGCTTGGCTCTGCCCCTGGCATTGCTGAAGTCCATGAGCGACGGTAACCACTCACCATCAGGTGGGCCGTGCGCTCGTATGCCTACCAGGGGAATAAAAAAAAAAAAGTGAGACAGCTATATTCACAAAAAGCAACAAACCTTCATCTTCGTCTTTGACATTGTGGTCGTCCTGGTCGGAAAGGGGTGCGTCGCTGTCATCGGAGTGCGAGCGAGGGGAGACAGCGGCTGTGGCTGTCGAAGGCATCCTCGGTGGCTGCGGGGTGCGGCGTGACGCTGCCGAACTGCGGCCGCTAGCGGAGCCGTCGCCTCGCTCGCCGCGCTCACGGTCGTTCCGATCAGAACGTTCGCGATCACCCCCCGATCCGGACTTAGATAAGTTCAGCACCGGACTATGTCCTGGCGATGAACCTGTCATAAAATCAATCTAGCGTTTAGTATTAGCGATTAAACGAAATACATGAAAATACACAATTAAAAATCGTCGTGGCCTAAACGATAAGACGTCCGGTGCATTCGTATGTAGCGATGCACCGGTGTTCGAATCCCGTAGGTGAGTACCAATTTTTCTGATGAAATACATACTTAACAAATGTTCACGATTGACTTCCACGGTGAAGGAATAACATCGTGTAATAAAAATCAAACCCGCAAAATTATAATTTGCGTAATCACTGGCGGTAGGACCTCTTATGAGTCCGCACGGGTACCACCACCCCGCCTCTTTCTGCCGTGAAGCAGTAATACGTTTCGGCTTGAAGGGTGGGGCAGCCGTTGTAACTATACTGAGACCTTAAAACTTATATCTCAAGGTGGGTGGCGCATTTACGCTGTAGATGTCTATGGGCTCCGGTAACTACTTAACCGTCCACCCATCTAAGCAATAAAAAAAAAACATGAGCTACACAGTCAGTTTATGTGGCTTTTTAATCGACATCATTAAAGAAATTGGAAAATTCGAGCAAAACTACACAAAGCTTCCTAATGACTATCACTATTGCTTAGGTGGTTGGACGAGCTCACGGCCCACCTGATCTTAAGGGGTTACTTGAGCCTATAGACATTACAAAGTAAATGCTGCCCACCTACCTTGAGACATGAGTTTTAAGGTCTGGGTTTTTAAAGTACAGTACAACGGCTACTCCACCCTTCAAACCGAAACGCATTACTGCTTCACCGCAGAAATATGCAGGATGGTGTTACCTACCCGTGCGAACTCACAATACGTCCTACCACCAGTTACCACGACCACTTTGTCCTATCACCAGCTAATATTACCATTCGTCTGTTGTAACATAACCATCAACCTAATTTCTTATTTTTCTACCACTAGTAGGTTTACGGGTCGATACCATCATTCTGCCTTCTACCGTGAAGCAGTTATACGTTCCGGTCTGCCAGTGGAATTTCTATTATTTAAGTTCAAATGAGATTTCGCCTTGATATTTCAAGATGCGTAGCGAGTGGCATACATGCTGTGGTGCTCATGGGTCTTGGTAACCGTATAACGTTGGATGGAGAATGAGCTTACCGGACCATCTAAGGTAAAATTTTTGGAACGAAGTTCCTTATGGGACGATACGGAGGGGTACCCTAACAGGAAAAAAAACGTCCGTAACGTAAGATTTTTATTATTTATGTATAGTCTTAGCATGATGGCTATACATAGTCTACGTGATGATGGTTATTATTATTATTCATATAACTGGCTGTTTCTTTGTATATTAGGAGCATTATTACATATTTTTTATAAATCTTTCTGAATAAAATAAAGTTGATAACTTTGTAAAGTAGTTTTTTTTTTTAACAATAAAAAATGTATACCCGAATAATTATTTTCTTTATACTCGAATACTCGCAGAACTTAAAATTAATATCTATATATTAATACGTGAAGCAAAAACTTTGTATCCCTTTTTACGAAAATTGTGCGGACGGAGGATTATGAAATTTCTCACACTTATAGAGAATACAGTGAAGGAGTACAGAATGCTAATATTTTTTTAAATTATGCATTAATAAATTAAATCAATAAAAAAACATTACACACACTACCATGTACTTGACACACACAAATATATTTTATACTCTATGTTTATTGTCAAACTTTTTTTATTGCTTAAAATCTGTGGTCAAACTGAAAATAGGTTAATTTTGTTTATCTTTAATATTATTTGTCTACAGTGTAGTCTTGGGAGATCTGTGATTATAGAAATATAATATGTAGTTTTTGACAATTGAACCATAATAATGTTCAAACTTATAATTTCAATTAATTATAGTCGAATTTCGACTACTGCGGGATCACTAGTTTTTATAATAAGGAACTTCGTTCCTATTCGGTGTCCCACGACATCACACATCTATATATTTTTTTTGATAAAACTTCTTTCTCTAATTTACTGGATGTAATCATTGTATATTTAAGTTATTCAACAATATTTCTTACCGTTATGCGATCCTTCGCGAGCTTTATCCATCGCCATAACTCGTTCCATATCGCCTCTTTCGTCACGCAATCTGCAACAACAACGCGGTCCGACATTAAAAACAAATAATAAAATTTTATTTCGACAAAATACTTATAATTAATTACATATATCGTTCCGCTCTTGTGTCTAAAGTCGGTCACGCTACCTCGCGAACCGAATCCTGGCAAAGCTACTGACAAACGTTTTTATCATTTGAAACCATAAAGCATGCTTCCCACTGAGTTATGTAGCTACTACAAAGGCAGACGTATAATATTATAGAACCCCGCTGGGTCCTTTGTGAGCGGATGAAGACGGCGTGTGTAATCATTTTGTATGCGGATCTCTTGTGTAGCCACCCTAATTCCTTAGCTCCTTTTTGATTGTAAATTATTGAAGTTTTGATGCTTCCGTTTCGATTCTGTTTTATTAATATTTGATTATTAACTTTTGCGATTAGCATTTTTTTTTAATCGAACACTAGTTTTATTTTAAACCGCGGGCTATAGATGTACGATTTTCTTCGATATTTGAGGCCTATAAAATCAAAGGCAGCTAAACGCCTTAATGTCGTTAAATGGATTAATAATGGTGCTATCTTGTTTAGTTAGTTGGACCCGCTTTAATGTTTTCATGTTATAACAAATGCAGCTAAATCTCTAACAAATTCAGTTAAAAAAATTTATTTTTACTCTCTACTAAGTACTAATAAACGAAGTTTTATCATTTAAAATTCAGATTATTAGTAATATTCTCATTCTTTATAAATCTGCTTTAAAATTAAGAATATCGTAGCTATCCGAACAAAGTTATTTCAGCTTCTCAAGCCGGGAGTGTTGCTAACACTGGCCCTAGCAAAAGCAGTACTCCGATGGATCGGGAGGATCCGTAATGACGTGTTTAGGGCCGATTTTTAGAGTTTACCTGAATATTTGACAGATTGGATTTAGCTGCCTTTGATTTTATAGGCCTCATTTGTTCTGTATTAGTATAACGTAAAAAAATATGTAGTCTTATTTTTTTAATTTAAACAAAAAAGTAATTCATTAATTATCCACAACACGTCGTTTCAAATTCTGAAACTTTATCAAAAGGAACACAGATTAAAAAATGAATTCGTTTCGGAAACCAATTTCGCTCATTTCAAAGGGGGGTTAATGTTACAATTTTTGCCCAGTAATGCCTTTCGAGCATTTGAATATAAATGACGTCTGAAAGTGAAATGTAACATACATAATAAGTGGCTGTTTTAAGCTTTCGCGGAACCCTTTTGTGGTCACAGAGTATAAAGAGAACAGAGATATTAGTTAAATTAAATGAGAATGTAGTTATTCGTTTATTTTAAACTACTATTTTATACTATATGAATAAAATATATATGTAATTAGTTTTGTTTAGATTTTTTATCATAGTGTCTTTCTGATATTTCAATGCCGTCAAAAGCACCATGATCACGGTATCCATTTATATTTTCATAATACCTTTCAAATAAATCCAATCTTATATATTATTTAAAAGTATTTGAATTGTTTTATAAAATTCTACTGGATCGAATATACTTAAACGCTATTTGGATTAAATTACGTTCAGTAACTAGTACAGTACTAGTTTCCAGTTTTAATACCAGTACTATAATAACTTATTTGAATATAAACTAAACAGTCATAGGTAAGTAAACAGATCGATGTCATCTTGAGTCTCTGCGTTACAATCCTAATCTGTGAGTGAACCCTCAGAATAGAGTCGTTTGCCACTTTACTGACGAGTCACGAAGCTCTGTTTGAATTTAATATATTTTTCATTTCCGACACCATTAATATGTAAATCATTTTTCTATCTTCATTGGTGCATTTTTATAAATTCAAAAACAGCTGTATTTTATATTAATAACCTATGAAGAATAGATTCTGAGAACAAGAGACGAGACTTTGTAATTTATCACTTTGATGAGATCAAATAATACGGGATGATTGTTAAAAAACAAACGAATATCGGAAACAAGTTCATGCTTCAAAACGTTAATATGATGAATGATATTTTTTATCAATCCACTAGAGCTGTTAACAAGGCCCCTCAGATCCTTGACGAATACGAAAAAGTATCGAATGAACCGATCGGACAAAAGATAACTACCAAACAAATAAAATAATAAATTATTTTCATTTCCTTCATTTCATTTTTATCTCTATGTGAGTGTTGGTTTGATTGATGATACACTAAAAGTTCACTTAGTACTCAATTTAAAGTGTTTTAGTTAACAGAGGAGAGGATTTTATCTTTTTCAATCTCTCTTCCATCTATTTTCAAATTCATTTTTATATGCAACTTTCAATTAATTTATTATAGGCATTTTACAAAAGTACTTATAATTATAGTGGTTCTGTTAATAGCATTAAAATCTGTTGAATACCATTATCCACAATACATGGAGCAAGTTATCATATTATATATTTGTGTATTACCTAATACATAGAATCACAATGTGCGGGTTTTTTTATTGGTTAGTGTTCAGTGAATTTGCGCACCAATTTTCCGATTAAGGTGAATCTTTGTATAGTTGTTATTGATTCAACGTATATTCTGTCACCGTACAATGACGCGTGAGTATTTTCAATAAATAATTAATATGATGACAGTAAAGTTTGATTTGCTACATTTATTATTCAGCAATGATAGAAAAAGTGGAAAAAAATTACGTAAAAAAAAAGAAATCAATAAAAACAATTTATTGAAGAAACATTTATGTCTTATTTACTTGATTACATAAAAAAATGTTTCTTTCAGATAAATTGTGGCGTTCCCTCACGGACTGTCAGGGAGGAACGAAAAGTCCGCAACCAAATAACATTATTCATTCACTTGTCATAAAGAAAATTGGCGAGGAATCACTGTGAAACTGGAAAAAATAACGCGTAATTTGCAAGTCATAACGGGAAAATCGAGTTTTTCATTCGGGGGAAGCAAATTTGTTTGAATAAATGCTTAGCTTTAGTAAATATAAACGCAATAAAGCACTACTATATTCACAGAATAAAAGAAGTATTGTTTTTCCGAACTAACAAAATTATAGCCTATTATAATAAGCCTAATATAATATTAACTGTACTAGGAATAAAATTATATAGAGTTTTTTTTGTGCGTTGTCTATACATAATGTACACTATGTTTGAATAAAATTTTCTATGGATCTCAGCAATGTCTTGTTTTAGAATTCGGTACTTATATCCTTTTCAGTTTCAGATGTGGAAAACAAATGAATAATAGCTTAAAAAACTAACAAAATACGCTTTTATAGAAAATCCAACTAAAACATAGAAAATAAATTTTAATAAATTTGAATTAAAAATAGTGTAAGAAAAAATGATTTTATTGTAAAAAAGCGTGGGGTGCTTTTCAGGATATTATCAAAATAACCCTTCTACTCATATCTGCTCATAAAATATTTATAAACTACTGATACCATGCACCCACGTATTTTTTCAATATTTTTTTTATTATTGAATTGTCATCGTTCCTTAATAAGTATACCAAATTTCAAGTTAATCCGACGTTTTGAAGGGGGTCATCCCCATCATGTTCAAAGATTCCGTTACATACATACGACTGAAGCTAATAAAAGCGTATTAATAAAAAAAGACCAACAACGCTATTTTCTATTGTAGTATGTATTAGCAGACACGTGAACGGCGTAATGAACATATATCGGAGTTTAACGCAGTTAGTTAACGTTAACCATTGCCATTACAGAATGGGTAGTGGCCTAAACAGATATTCCGGGGCACGAGCGCGGACAATGCGTTGCAATCTACCCACCAAAGCCAACGTACGTTGATTAGTTAATACAGAAACGTTCACATAACCTAATACCGAACTACCGACCGCTCCGTTCCGAACCGTCCTTGTATGCATAATCTGATTAACTTAAGTATTAAACAAAGCTTTCGGTAATAGTGTCCTCGATTTACATAGCCGAACGACGCTCTCTTATGTCGATTGAAGCCTTTTGAATACGAAATTAATGTATATAATTGCATTTACGGTCGCGTTTAAACAAACACTCCGGATTTGCATTCTCCGGAATCGATTAAGAAAATCAAATCCTGTCGGAGCGTCGCTGCGTAAAACATTTGCTTGACACCCAAATCAAAAATCGTTTTAGCACACCCTCAGGAGGGGTGGTCGGGGAAATGTCGACGCCTCAACATTTATTATTTCAGACATATCACTCGCATGCAAAACAAACTCGGTCCGATCCATCAAAAAGTTTCGTCTCATCCCCTACGCCTCCACCAGAACAAATCGAGTGTGTAAGTACTGCGGTCTCAGGAAACCGGTCACTATTACTTCTATTTTTAATTTCATTCTCATTTGTACCGAATTTAATTTGGCATTTAACGAATTTAATAGCATGATAATTCGAATTACGCAACAATAAAAAAAAAAAGATTATGATAAAGACTGTTAACAAAGTTTTAGTCCAAGTAAACACATTTCATCGTCACTTACATTTGCAGACTAAGGTACGTTCGTTCGATAGGCAGTAAACAGTCTTGAGAGAATAAATAAGCTTGTTCATTCAAAAGAAATGAGCATTGTAGCCCCCGGAACAGTCAACAAAGCTTCGAAGAAAATCGAGCGAAAAAAGGCTAAAAACACCTTAGGGGTTTACTAATCGAATAAAAAATATCAGCGACCGATGCCGATGTGTAGGGGGAGAAACGGAATAAATTATAAAGAAAATACAAGTAGCGAAGGGGCGATTGTTATGAGTAAAAAGTTCAAAACATATGCAGATAACATAGCGTTTCGCTTTTGAAATGATGTAAAGGCAATATTGGCGTGTAATAACGCTGGAGCATTTGCATACGTTTGCTATAATGTTAGATGACGTAATTCCTTCCTTTATTTAGGGTTTTTTTTTCACCACATTGAAAGGAGGTTAAAGCTTCAACTTACTTGGGAGAATAAATCTCTGAAAAAGTATTTTACGCAATGTAAGTTAGTCCAAAATGATTTTTTTTTAAATAATAAAATGAAATCGAATTTGAA